CCATAGCCCCTAAAAGTGAGTTCTTGGGAGTGGGTCTGAAATTAGGATAGACATTTGCTGATCTTGCATATGTCCAACAAGTCAGAGCAGGATCGTGCTTGGGGTCATTGTGTTGAAGCAGATACCCACTTAAGCCTGACCCAAAGGCTCAATCTCCTGGTTTGAGCCTTCCAGCCTCTGAAGACATGACCTACTCAGAGAGGTCGAGGGTATTGGGGAGAGTGGCCAGGGGATGCTGGCTTATACCTTGAACCCACAACTGTAGCATGCATATTTAATTTATTTAGACTGATATTTTTGGGTTTGGGAATGTCATTTGTATGTTTCAATTTTTATGGCTATAATTCAAAGGAATGTATGAATTGATCTTTTGTTAAGTGGCTTTTTAACTGATAAATTTCTCACATGTTTTTTGGTATCCATTATTATCTATACTTAGTAGATAATGGAAATAGATTATTTTCACAAATAACTACCAAAAAATTATGCATCTGCCTGTGAAATGCCCAATATTAGGTGTAACATCTATACAGAAGTTTTACACCTAAGGATCATGGAAGATAATAGAACAAAGGGTAGAGAGAATACTAATGCATCTCTCAACTCTCATCTCTCAACTCTTTTATTTTTAGAGAATAAGAGTCTGCAAAGTGTGGGTCCTTGGATAGGTCTCCTATATTAAACTTTACCCACCCTGGGCTCAAGGACCATTGCAGAAGAGGGGATGGAAAGATTGTAAGAACTGGGAATGAAGTGTATGACCATATCGAAATAGTGTCTTGCAGGCTCCTGGGACCTTGCTCATATGAACTTACAGCAATGGTGTTAACATGTACAAGACCCATGCAAACCCAAGCAGACAAAAACCCAGCATAGAACTGTGTAAATAGGCATCGGGCCTCAATTGTAGCCAAAGAACTATTGACAACTGATTACTGTTGGGTGAGGAATAGCTGATCTTCTTAAAGGGAGGGACTCTAGATAGGCTGACTAGATCTTAGTAGATGAACTTTCACTGAGGGACATTTGGGGAAACACTTGACTTGATAGGTCTTAACATCAATGACAGAATACATGAAATTCAGTGGGTTGGGGGTTTGGAATAGGAGCCCATGGGGAGAGGGATATAAAGACAATTAAGATGTTCTTTATGAAATACACATAAATTCAATAAAAGTAAACAAAACATATGCATATACTGTTTTGTTTGGGAAAGAGTTGCATGCCTAGGGCAGCCTATAACTTACTGTGTGGCTCAAGGTTGGACTTGAGCTCACAATCTTCCTACTTTAGCATCTTGGATTCTGTGACTAGAGGTATAAGCTACCATACGCAGTCCATTAAGCACAGATATACAGAACATTTTCTTGTGCTATAATACTCCCATTAGCCAGTCTATGAATATTGATAATATCATATAGATTATTTTCATGAACAGGATTCTTCTAGGTATATTATTTTATAATGCATTTATCACCCTATAATAATTTCCATTTAAACACATACTATACATCTCTTCAAAACTGAACAAATAATATTATCTAATGTAGAGAAACAATAATTCATTTATTTACTCATCAAATGATTATTAGATGTTGTCATTTTTTTGGTTTGAGGTCTGAATAGATATATATGAAATGAATTTAGAAGCAGGTATTTCCCTGTGGTAGACTTAAAAAAAATATAGTTGTTGGGCAAAGGATACAAATTTGATGGACATGATCCAGAAATCTTATTGGAAGATTAAAAAATAAAATAAAAAAGCACACTAACAAGTATGAGAATGTCCACTCTACTAATCCTTTTGGGATTATTTCCTTAACTGTTTTTGAGGGAAAAGTTTGGGGATAAATGTCAGTGGCAAAGTGCTTGTGTAGCATGAACAAGGCTCTAGGTTCTATTCCTTATTCCTGAAAAAAAAGGTTTTAATTTCCCTTTTTAAAATGAAGAGGAATATTATATTTGTTTCTTACTGTGCTGCAAAGCTGTTGCTTCACTGTATAGGAAGAGTGCCAGTCAATGCAGCCTATTGTAAATTAGGACAGTGCTGTCCTTCATCTGACCCTGTACCACAATTTCCTGCTCTCAGGCATTTCCAGTGTGAAGATCCTTAAGTCTTCTGACCTAAATCCAGGATGGATATAAGTAAGTTTCAAATACTATGTGAGACTTGTGAAAACATTGTTATCCTGAAATACAGAATTCTTTTGCCATAGATAATCTCACAAATTCTGAATATCAGAGCTTAGCCTCTAGTCTAAATACTTAGTCTAAGGTATTATAGAAAAACATATATTGTGTTTATTTGCAACCATTAGGAAGCTGAGGGGGATTTTCTTCCAGTAGCAGTGTTGAGAACCCTTTCTTTGCCATCAGTATTGGAAAAGTTATTTAATGTCTTGTCCACCACTAATTCAAGACAACTATGTTGGAGCGAGTTGGTTGGCACCGGTTGGTTTTGGACTGGCTGGTCACTTTTCAATGGATTTCATGTATTTCTCCTATGCGTCTTCCACCTCTCTCATTAGCTCATCCAGCTCTGAAGGGTCACTCGGTGTCATCTTGGTCAGCCACCCATCTCCTTAACAGGATTTGTTGACAAACCCTGGATTATTTGCAAGTGCTTCCTTAACTTCAGTTACCTCTCCTGACAGAGGAGAATAGAGTTCACTGGCAGCTTTCACAGTTTCTATAGCAACAAACTCATCCTGCTTTTTCAATTTTGTCCCAACTTCAGGAAGACTGCAGTAGACAACATCTCCCAAAGCTTCCTGTGCGAAATTGCTGATCACCACTGTTCCAATACCATTCTCTGTTGTTATCCATTCATGTTTCTCTATGAGTTTATGCACTGAGAGCAGGGCGGGTCGGGTGCGCAGCTGGCTGACGGTGACAGGGTCCCTCTGTAGCCGCAGCTGGCCTGAATTCACTATGGAGACCAGGCTGGCCTCGAACTCACAAAGATCCACCTGCCTCTGCCTCCCGAGTGCTGGGACTAAAGGCGTGAAAAGTACAGTCATTTCCCATATTTATCTGTATGACATAGCATAATTACCCCAGCACCCATGGTTGGTATTAGGGTTCATCCTGCTGGTTTGGGAGACTGAGTAGAAGGTAATGATATCTATAATGAATGATTAAAGAATGAGTAGGGCTGACATTTTGGTTTTGGACATGTTGAGATTAATATGCATATCAACAATGAAATGGTATGCTTGAAGCTCGTTTGATTAGTTTTGACTTGAGATAAGCAAAAACCTCAGTACTATGTTTCTGAAACCAAGATGTGGTCTAAATTTACTGGTCCAACAAATTTGGGAATGTCAAGTTAAATAAAATAAAATTTGTTTCTCATCAGGTTCTCTCAAGCATTTTAAGATGCTATTAACAATATTATTTAGCCTTTGCCATGTGATAGGAATTTTACCTGCATATGCATTCCTCTGCATATAACATCTCATGAAGTTATGTCCAAAATTTCTCTATTTATATACAAGAAAATAGGAGCAAAGTAAATAGAAAAACTTATCCATAAAAATTACTTAGTACAAAGTTAAGATTCAAGTCCATCAAAGTGGTAAAAGAGCTTAGAATCAGTAAGTGAAAAACATCTGTGGATGGACTCTCAGGGAATTAGTGATAAAAAGGATGGAGAGTAAAAGTACAAACACACACACGTGTGTGCACATTGGCTTTAGCAATGCGGTAGTCGTTGGAGATTTAGGTGAGACATTTCAATAGGCAGCACTCAGAAGATGACAGAAATGCGTGGAAAAAGTATGTGAACACTCCATGTGAGTTCTATATGTTGAAGTTACAGAAGTTGATGTTACTATGTGTGTTCAAAGTGTCAGTGAGAATAGAGGTTTAATCACAAAACTGGTAGATGATAGCCCATAAAGAGAAGAGAGCTCAGTCTGCCAGATGAAGCCTCCTAGTACAGGGAAGGGAACAAAAAGAATGTTGAGTCATGCTACCAATTTAGATATTGGGAGATTACCCCCTCTACAGGAAGCAGTGATCTGGATTTCAGTTCAGGTATAGAAACAATGAATACATTAGGATTTACATTCTCTCTCTCTCTCTCTCTCTCTCTCTCTCTCTCTCTCTCTCTCTCCTTTTGTCTGTTGCTACATGTGCCTTTGTCTGTTTCTATTGGTAGTTACTTCCCTGAGTCAAAGCCTGGTGTGGTGGCTCATGCCTTTAAGCCCAGCACTCAGGAGGCAGAGGCAGGCAGAGCTCTGTGAGTTCAAGGCCAGCCTGGTCTACATAGCAAGTTCCAGGCCGGCTGGGGCTACAGGGGGACCCTGTTTAAAAAAAAAAAAAAAAAAAAAAAAAAAGAATGAACAAGCTGCACTCCAAAGACATTGAGAGGCAGGTAAAATATGAGATGCACTGCACTTTCTATGACGTGAAAACCTTCATGTGGAAAATCAGTGCCATTCAGATTTTAAAGTTAAACCCATGGATCATGAATTTCATTTGAAAGATTATACTACATACTGATGACTGATAACACATGCACAATGTAGTAAAATATTAAATTTATTTTATTTCAGACATAAGCTGTTAATCTCAACAGCAAATGATTTATTGCTGTAGCTCCTGTGCTGACTATGATACAATAATAGGGGACATGGCATCAGATGAAGTGGTCATACAACTAATTAGGCTTGAGAGTAAGAGACACATTTAATCATTCTATAGCACACAGGTACAAGATGGGACTGCCCCAGGCAAATGAGATGAGTGGCTACTCTATATATAATGAAGTTGTGATTTTAGTGAATGAAATTGGATCAATAGCAGAGGAAATTGGAAAAATCATGGGCCTTGGATTCAAACAGGCTTAGGAATGAAACCATACTTACCCCCTTCTTTACAGAAAAATAAGTAAGCACTTGTGCCTTCAGGATCTCTTCAGCCCCATGTTTCCACATACAAATTTTTGTGAAAAAAAGAAAATATGAAATTTAAAATGTATACATTTTGCTTTACAGGTTCCCCTTTGCCTAAAGTAGATGGTTCTGCCCCCTTGATTGCCAGTTCACCAGTGAAGGAAGCTCAGGAGTACACAGATCCTCCAAGAGAAGAGGCAGATAAAATAAAAGATCCTTTGGTCGTCTCTGAACTAGCATACAACCCAAGTGCCAGCCTGCTCCCTACCCCAGTGGATGACGATGAAATCAACACGCTCTTTGACTGTCCATCTAAGCTCGAGTTGGAAAGAGAAGACACAGATTCATTTGAGGAAGTGGAAACAAATGAAAATGCCTTTTTGATGGCTGAAGAGGAGATGAAGGAAGTTCATCAAGCCTTTTTTTCCTTTTCCATTCTGACCAGCCATATTCGCGTCAACCCCCTGGTCAAGAGTATCTCCAGGCTCCTTGTGGTGGGCCTGGGACTGATATTCTTTGTATTTCCCCTGTTTCTCCTCCTTTTGGAGTCAGGTATTGATCTCTCCTTCTTATGATAAATCTGCCAGACACCAGAGTTCAAGCAGTTTCACTGTGAATGCTACTGTCTGCTTAAGGAGTGAGTGGCTGGGAAAGTCAACCTTTTCTTCTACATGCTGGGTTGCTTATAACATTCATATCTGATAAGATAAAGGGCTCTATGTTCAAGATAATTGTTATCTTTCTCAGTAGATGCCAGATTTTGAATGGTGATGAATTGTCATCCTTTCTCATAAATTATTTTGTGGAAGAAGCTTTTAAAAATGTATATATGTGCGTGTGTGTGTGTGTGTGTGTGTGAGAGAGAGAGAGAGAGAGAGAGAGAGAGAGAGAAACAGACAGATACAGAGAGACATTCTTTGCTGGCTTTCCTTAAGATTTTAATTTATTCATAATTGGGGCATCCATTGAGTACAATGAAGGAGCCATTAGATGACATATAATTCAGCTTTGGCAATGTAGGTGATGAAAAGGAAAAAAAATCACCAGCTAAGTGAGGGGGAAAAATTCTGTAGTATATTCCTTCAGATCATTAAATCCACAATATAAAAGACATTGTTCTTTTCATTAGAGTGCTTACCAACACTGTGATGGAGGTAAGAAAGAAAAGGGTATTTAGTTATTGCATAGAGCATAGGGTTTCTACCTATGTTAAAAATGTGCCATTGGCATCTTATCAAAGAAGTTTTTTGCAACAGATGGAGACTATTACAAAGTTCCTCAACTGAGCAAACACAGAGAATAAGTGCCTTTGAGGTGCCTAGCCATAAGTAACACATCTACAATGCAACCAACTGCTACACTTAAGGCTCAGGGAACATATTGGAACATCGAACAGAAAGAATATTGATGCATCTCACAACTCTCACCAGTGAAAGTACTCTCAGCCAGTACATGGTGATTATCCCAGAAAGCCACAACTAGCCAAAATGCACAGAATAAGAGACTGTAAAGTGCTTATCCCTGAATAGGACACCTACATTAAACCTCTGCCACCCAAGACTCAGAAACCATTGAGGAAGAGGGTGTAGAAAGACTGTAAGAGCCAGAGGTGGTGGATGATCACCAGGAAACAGTTTTCCTAACAGCTGGGAAGATGCTCATATGAACTCATAGCAAAGGTGACAGCATGCACAAGACCCACATAAGCTCAAGCCAGACAAAATCTCAGCACAGAAGTGGGGAAGTGATTAAAAAGCCTCAACCTTAGCCAAGCAAATACTGGCAACCAATAACTGCTTGTAAAGGGAGAGTAGGTTTTCTTCAAGAGTGTTAAACTAGATAGGTTAACCAGGCCCCAGTGGGTGGACACACACTGAAGGTTACATGGAGATGGAAACTTAACACAATAGGCCTTAATATATATGAGACAGTGCATGAAATCTGGCAGGGTGACTGTAAGAAGGGTGAAGATAGGGGAGGGGATCTAAACATGATCAAATATATTGTATGACGTTAGTAAACATTCAATAAAAAGATAATAGAATTAAGTATTTCTTTGATGGAATTTCAATGTTATCACAAGCATAATTTCCAAATTGAGCATCCAAATTTGAAAGTTTGCAGCTGAGTGAGTTGTTAGATGATTATGTTTTAAAGTAAGCTCTGAAAGTCAGCAGTGAGGTTTTGAACTAAATGTGTTGCAGGTAACACTTGGTATTACCTTTTCAGAGTTTTCTTCTAAAAGCCTTTCAGTGATTTTTCCTGGTATAGAAGTATATTTCTCTTGATTGGGCCCTACAACAATTTGGAAGTTTGAAAGTGGCCAGTTTTGCTATTAAAGTTGTAGTTTCTCCCTTTTTCTCTCATATGACTTTAGAGTCATTGTCTTTCATGTGAAGGTACTCCAGTGTTGTTGACCAAAAAAAATGGTCTCCCTTCTAACTGTACTTCATATTTTCTTGGAGGTTATATCCAAGATAAATCTTCTAGCCCTCATGTTTTAAAATCATGTTAAAATTTATATTTAAAATTATGAATATAATATATTTATCTCTGCAAAATATAAAAAGAATATTTTCAGAAATATTATTGGGTAAGTAAAAATAGGGACTGATGATTTTAAAAAATAGTTACCAAAACTAATACTGGTTTCTTAAAATGTCATGAGTTTTCAGTGTCTTTAAAAAATATCCAGTAAGTTTTGTTGGGAGGCAGAGGTCAGTTTTCTGAATCAAAGAAAGAAAAAACAATTGCTTTAAGATATCATCAGTATATAATACAGTGAGAATTATGGTCAGTATATAATATGAGACTCAGAATTCAAAGCACATGTATGAGTAGATGTAGGTTCCACATTATTGATATATAGATATTTATTGAAGAACCTGTATATACGTGTGTGTATACAGAGTCTACATACCCTTCATTCATGTTGATATGTATTCATATTTATGTAAGAACTTGTGTATACATGTGTATATACAAAGCCTACATGCCTTTCATACATAAGTTATATATGAGTATTTATGGAAGAAACTGTGTATACATAGGTTTTTGTATACAAAGCCTACATGTCTTTTATGCACATGGGTTTATGTGTATGTACAAAACCTATGTGCCCTTCATATATATTATTTATAGTCATTTTGCCCCAGTTGAGGAATTTGTGACTTGTTATTGTTCCATTTTCTCTTGGATATTATGATGAGAAAACTCACAGCATTAAGGATTTAAATTTTCCATGAAAGTTGAGTGTATGCATTTATGGTTTTGTATATATACACATACAGAGAAAGAGGAGAGAGAGAGAGAGAGAGAGAGAGAGAGAGAGAGAGAGAGAGAGAACCAAGAGAGATAGAGACAAAGACAGAGAGACAAAGGGGAGGAAGAGAGAGAGTGAGCGAGAACATGTACATATACCTGTCCTTAGTGATAATACAAGTTACATATTGAGAATGATGCAGACAAAGTGTCATGTATTTTGATCTGAACTTGTAACATAATGTATCAGGTTATATATTCACAGTATATTATAGTTTGTCTAATAATTATGAATATAACTCTGGGAAGAATTCACCATGAGTGGATTTCATTAGAATACAAGAGATGTGGGGGCCATATTACTGTGATTGGAGCCTTATCTTTGTATAATGAAGTTTGTATTTCTATGTTAACATCCAGATTGTTTTGTATGTCAATATGGTGGTAAGAATCCCTAATAAAATACTCCAGGGTAAAATAGTTTCTTCAATCATTCAGTTTTATTTGAGATAAAGTTGTAGAGTCGTTCTGTTGGAAACTCTAAGAGAATTCATTAAGACAGTGAACTGAGGGTACCTTTAATGGTGATATCCTGAAAGGAATGACAGGTACTGGAGGAAATGTTACTAAGCTGCTGAAGTTACTAATGTCCAAGAAGAAATATGAGCACTGAAAATATACTCCAATATAAAGGAAATACATTGTCAAATTAATGTAATGGTATCAAGACACCTAGAGACACAGGAAAACAGAGAAAAAGCAGAAGAATAGGAGAAAGGATTTCATAATGCAGGGAGGTCACCACCACTAGTCAGAACAAATTCTTCCTGGGTCAGTAAGACTCTTAACTATGCCATACTTGCTACAAGACTTTCCTTTCTGTCATAGACCTAGAAGAATTTCATTATTTTACTTATTTAGTCCCCTATACTCCATAGTCATGACAGGTCTTCAGCTGAGTTTGGGAATGAATACATACAACTCTCAGCTTCCTGATTGTGTTAAGTTTCATACTCTGAAGTCCTGAGAAGGACAGGGTCCAAACTCCAGGACATAAAGAGGAGTTAATGCTCAGGAGTGAGGTGATGTGGACCTATAGTCCTGGCTCTGGCAGCTTTTATCAGTGCCTATGAGGCTCTGGAAATATAGCCCTTAGCCACTTACTCATTGTGTGGTAGGTATATTGAACTTCTGACCCAACTTTACTTCTTGGAGGAAGTATTTCTTTTTTGTTATGTTTTCTGCTGAGTCAGAAAGAGGAAGTCATTTCCATAACATTACCAACTTAAAGAACAAGTCCTGAGGAGATGCTTTCATCTCTGGGGTGACTTTTGGGATGATTGTGCCTGATGGGGCTTGAGGCTCTTTGAGCTAACTTTCTCTACTGAGGGGAAACAATATGCTAGAAGTTCCTGTTTACTTGTCCTCCTGCTTGTTCTCTCTCCATATCTGTCTTGAACCTGCTTTGGGGGCTTCTAGTCTCTATGCCATGAACAGACTCAGCAGGATGTGCACTTGGTGGGCCAATCCAAGATCCGTTCTCCCCATTCCAGCCTCTGTCTCTGACAGAGTGGTAAGTTTGTGAACCAGCCCAGGAGACTCAGCTGTCATCACTTCAGAAAGGAAGAAATATCACTTAGCTCCCAATCTTCAGTTGTATTTGCCCATCCAATTACTAATGCTGATTTGATTCCTTTTTCTGGTGATTGTATTTTTTTATCTGCTTGGGAATTGGAATGGTGTCATGATTATGGGTATACTCATGATTTTTAATTTTTAATGTTACAACAAGGAAAGGATGGAGACAGTTAAACTTGGCTGAGCCTCAGGCATCAGAGGATATCTGCACTAATATGGCCCTCACAGCCTTCACCAATGAGAGAGGGAACTAGGAATTGGTAAGTAATAGAGGTTGGGTTGGAGTCACATATCCCTATTCTGTACCTTTAGTTACTACAAATATCTCTTTTGAAATGACACTAAGGCCATTTTTATGGATACAAATGAACACCCCTGATAGGATGAGATATTTTTTGTGGGTAGCAAGCATTGAAATACACTTGGCAAATTTCATGAACTTCTCCAGTTAGCATTCAACACCTTGATTCTTCATATCCACAGGATTATGATTATGATCATTGAATTTCCAAAGAGACTACCCTTAAGAGGAAAGAGCATATTAATAAAGCAATGTTGGTTTGCACTATTTCTGTGTGGCTATTACACTCTTCAGAAGTTGAAAACTCAGTATTCTTGTATCAGTCTCCTGTGATTTTACTGGCATGACTCAGCTTTATCCTGTCCTTATTCGTCC